TCAGTGATTTGTTTTATCTCAGTTGATCCTACAACCTGCTCTTTTCCGGGTGAGAGGGTGGGCTGTAGTCCATAGGATGAACCCCTGAATAGCCAGTTCTGCAGCTTCCCTGGAGGTGGATGGATTAACCCTCAAGCCACATACACGGGCATGTTGTCTGTCTCTGCCAGTGGTGCTGGGCTCGAGAGGGCAGGGCTGGCTTCTCGGGGATGCCTTTGGGGAGCCAGCCATGCCCACTGAGCTAAGCTGGGCCCCACTTGGTCCAACTCCTCTAGGCATCGGGGCTTGAAATAGCAGCCGCTCAAGAGCTGACAATCAAAGGCCAGCTAAAAAAAGGCCCCTCAGTCTGGGCTCTGTCTCACACGGCTTGTAGGACCTATTTTAGGGGCGAGAGTGCCGACGTGCCAATGGAAAATCCATGGGGTGGGAGTCTCCAAGGTGGGGACCCCGAGTATGTGCACGCACATATGTGTGGACACACAAACGTACAAGTTGCAGCTCTTAGCCCACCTTCCTGGCCATTGGACCCTTTCATCCCTACCACAGCTAGGGATAAGGAAACTGAAACCCAGAGAAGGGAAGTGAATTGTCTGAGGTCAGTCATCTAGGAGGGCAGGACCATGGCCAGACTGAGCTTCTGTGGCCCCCAGTCCAGAGCTCTTCCCAGGAGGCAACCTTCACTGAGGAAGCCAACAAACATGTCATCCTTGGAGAGTCAAAGGCTAAGAGATGGGGGCAATGGTGATGTTTTGGGTTGGAGTGGGTAGGAGCCGAGAAAGACAACTGGGAAGAAATCCCACTAGAAGCCCCCAGGCCACTTCCTATGAGACCCGGCATGGCTGTAGGAGAGGTAACTAGAGCAGGGCCTCAACTAGAGCCCAGTCCCCAGCCCACTGGATGACCACTCATGCCTGTCCTGCCTGGGCCCTGAGACACTGGCAGCTCTTGCCAAATTTCCAGGGAATGTGTCAGATAAGGGGCCAATGCTCATGACTTTCTCCCATCCTGCCACTATCTCTGACCCTACTGCCGTGACCAAGTGGGTAAGAATAGCAACAGCCATGGTGAGTGGGCACCCACAGGGCCATCACAACTTGGGACAACACAGCAACGCTTTCAAGAAGGCAGATGTGGCTTTCAGATGAAAGGCGAGTCTCAGGGTCCTCCTCCCTATCAGTGCCAGCCCTGCCTGGCTCTCTGTCCTCCTGAGCCCCAAGTCCCAGCACATGGAATGGTAAATAGCAAACCTCAGTGCTGCCCCTGGTGTCTCTGGGGAGGGATCTGAGAAGACCACATCATCTTGTGGACCTTGACCTAGGCCTGAGCCCTGCCCTCCACAGAGGGGTTGTGGGACCTGGAGCTAACTCTATCCCCTCCAGGCTCATAAGCCAGACACGCTCCACAAGAGCTCCCCGAAGCAAGGGAGACAGCCAGCTGAAGCCTCTCCCAGGCCGGCCTGGCTGCTGGATGCCCCTGAGGACACTGACTGCAGTCAGTTGGAATATGGATGGGGTGGTCCCCATGTCCTACGTGTAAGAAGCCCGGGTATATGATCACAGGGTGGAGGGGGTCATGTTGTGCCAATCCCCCTATGCAAGTCTGAGATACTCCTGGAAGTATGTGAGGGTAGCTTTGTCACTCTGCGGGAAGAGGCTGTTGTCATGGAATCCATAGTGAGTGTTAACGTGACACCAGGAAGGGGGGCTAGGGGACTTTGTGTGATGTTCCTGAGTCACTGTGATACCTGGAAGTAATCATGGGAGCCAAGTCCCCAATCCCTACGCCAGTGGCCCCTGCTCTCATGGGCTGAGTCACCATGGAGATGGAGACTCAGCCCCACCTCCCTCCCACCCTGCTCCCCTCCTGTCCTCTTGCTGTCTTCATCTCCCTCCTCTTCTCATGCGACTCTTCCCCTTGACCTTTCAGCTGGCCTCTTGTTCTCCATATCACCCACCTACCCCAGTTCCCTGAGGAGGAGATCAGGAAGATCGAGAAGGGGAGGAAAGGAAGATTGGGCTGAGGCAAGCTCCTTGCACATTCACACACATCCTGACATACTCTGACACTAACCATGCTTACACACCCACAGGCACACACATGAGCACATGCACATGACTCATAGAGGGACAGAGCTTCCAAGGGGTCTCCCAACACTTGTCCTGCCAGGTGGGCCCCACCATTCCTGCATCCTCAGGGTCTTTCCACACCTCTGAGGGCCTCTCAGTAGAAACATGACATCCCACGCCAGAGGAAGAACTTCTGCCCCGAGGCTCAATCTGGAGTCCTGGGGTGGATGCAGGTGGGTGGGGTTGGGGGGATCTCTGGGGTCCCAAGACGATTTTGTCCTTTGGGGATGAGGGCCAGCCTGACCTCTGGGCCTCTTGCTTTAAGAGCTCTACCGTTAGGGCTGGAAAAAGTTTAAAAATATCCTCATGTTTACATTCTTTCCAAACCCGCCTCCCAGTCCTAGTGCTGGGTCCCTTTGATCTGGCTCTGTGCCTCTGGAAGGGGCCTAGGAGAGGGGGAGGATGAGCCCCCCACTGGGGCCTATCCTGTCACCCCCACTCCCAGCTCCAGCCCAGTCAGAGCTCTGTGAGATCTGGGACATCACAGTAAGCGAGCCTAGGGTCTGGAAAGGAGTCCATGCCGGGAGTATGTGTTACCCCGAGGCACCCAGCAAGGCCAGGTGGGGGCTGGAAGTGGGGTCCTTCTCCATACTCTCAACAGCCTGGGGCTCATGGGGCTTCTGTGGAGTGCATGTATGTGTGTGTTTGCAGTCATTTGGGATACGCCTGCCAAAAGCTTATGGACAAGGGAAAGATCCATTAATTGAGCTCCTGTGGTGTGCCTGGCACTTTGCTTAATGTGTTTTCCAAGGATTGTCTCATGTCATTCTCCCAACAACTCCATGAAGTGAGGCCCATTTTATCAAATAAACCAAGTCTCAGAGAGGTGAAGGGTTTTACTTGGGAGCACTCAGCAACGAGGAGGTAGGGCATGGATCACGTGTTCTTCTGTCCATACTGTGTCACTTGTTACCCCCCAACCTTGCTCTGTCAGATCTAGGCCCTGCCTGCAGCGTGAGGCTGCTTCACTAATGGGAATCTCTACAAGCGATCACTGACCCAGTGCCAATGTGTTTCTCTCCCTGTGACCTAGGACAAGCCATGTCCCTATCTCACTCTCACCTTCCTCTTTAGAATGAAGCTAAGGATCACAGGAAAGGTTTATGTCCAAAGTTGATTAAGGAAACTGAGCCCTTGACCTTGTGATCAGCTCAGCAGTGATATAACCATGGAGTGTCATGGGATCTGACGGCTCAAGAGTGAAGCCCTCAAATGGGCAGATGACTTAATTTGCCCCAGTAACTTGCTGTTCACTCTTTGCATAATTAATTCCCCATCTACTCACCAACTCACCTGCCAGATACCTACCCATCCATCATCCCTCACCCACACACCCATTCATCCATTCATCTATCCATCCATCCAGAACAAAAACCCAAAGAGCAGGAGTTTCTGACTCAGGTGCTACATCTCACTGGCTACGCAAATCTGGCAGGGTCTTTCCACCTCTTTGTGATCCACTCTCTTACACTTACCAGAAGTAGCTGACCAGGGTGATCTCTAGTGCCCTTCTGAGAGATCTTGTGGGAAAGAAACTAATGGTCATGGAGTCATTTAGAGAGGTAACATGGACCTACAGTCCATGCCTGCCTCTACATACTTCTGCCTTGGGCTCTAGTTCCAAGACTCTCAGCTATAGCTTTTTGCCTCCTTGATCTTCAAGATCTTTCATTGGAAAGTGGAGTTAATAATCCAACCTAGTGGGTTGGAGAAATTAGATAAGATGCAACCTCCAAAGAGTTTTCTTCTCTAAGGACTTCCAAGTGGGTGCATACCAGGCGAAGGATCCTGGCAAGGGGCAGAGGAACCCTGCTTGGGCTGGGGTGGTCAGCAAACCCTTTAGTTGGGGGGGGGTCCCCAAGCCCAGAGTGGCTGGGGCTGGCTTCAGGGTTCATCCACAAGCTCCCCCAGGCAGCCAGTGTGCCTGCCCTGACTCACTCAGCTAGGCTTGGCCCCCATCCCACAGAATCTGCCAGCAGTAGAGATTATCTCCTAAAAATAGGGATGGGCCCCACCAAGGTTGTTTTTCTCCCTTCCCCGTGATTTACCATTATCAGCTCTGGGTGCTTGGGACAGCAAGTCCCACCCTGACTCCCCAGAGACCATCAGGAAGAGGGCGTGCGGGACCAGCTTATGTCTGGGGTCAATCAAAGGGCAGAGAGTGGGGGTCAGTCTGGAGGTATGGTCGGGGTTCAGCAGTCCACCAGGGCTACAGCTTAATTTTGGCTCAAAAGCAGGGCTCCACCTGGGGCAGGGACAGCTTCAGGTGGAGGGACAGGGGTTCCTGTTCCAACCCAGTAGTGTAGACTCCCCTCCCATGACTTTCTGCAGATGCCTCAAGTGAAACCCAGAAGTGCCTTCAATATCACTGGGGCAGAAGAACTTATTTTCTGGCTTCATTTCTCCTGACCTTGCCTTGCAGGGCCCTCAAGATTCGTATGCAGGTTCCTCCAGAGACTGAGGGGTCTCTGTCCACTCCTGGGTACAGGTGACTTCTGCACAGTGACACAAGGGTGCTCACACACAAGGAGAGGACATGTACTTACAAGATTATGCTCTGCCATAGCAAAGGTAATGTTCTGGAAATACAGGAATGACTCAAATACACTGTTCCTCGACCCTCACTTCATCCAGGATCTGTGGCTGGTGGGTGCTGGACACCCAAGGAAATGACCCACTTTCCTTTGGTCCCAAGATCTCACCAGCACCCCATATGATGTCTTGTAGTCTCCCTTACAGGGAATCCCAGTCTTTTCCTCAAGTCCCCAGACCATTCTGTGCAGCAGGAAATAGGGAGGGCACAAAGGGCAGATGTGCGCACTCACACACATGCATGCACATATGCACATGGACGCTCAGACATGGGCACAGCAATTGTTTAGCCCCAGGCCCAGCTCGCTAAGGCTTTATTATTGGAAAATGAGCTGCCATTTAGAGTATTCTCAAGGACAATCCAGAAAGTCAGTTTCCCTCTGGGGATTTGTCTAGTGATAGTGCCTCCACCCCAGGAAGGTGGAGAGGTTTTTTGTTTTTTTGGTACCGGGGATCTAACTTGGGACCTTGTGCTTGAGCTTGCAAGGCAGGCCGAAGAACCACTGAGCTAAATCCCTGGCCCTGGAGAAGTTTTTACTCTGTCCTGCCCCCCCCCCCACTGGATCTTGGATACTGGATCTTTCCCAGTGGATTCAGTTGGAGCCAGGTCCAATCTCCCAGCTGCGGCTGCCTGGATCACTCAGACGGCCACCTTCAGGGGCATGCTGTCTGCTGGCTGATTCAGGTCCTTCTTCCTCGCCAGGGCCAAGTGCGTGAAGATGAGAATGAGGAAGAAGCCTGAGGGGCCCAAGAGGAATGGATCAGCCCTCAGAAGGAGCTGTGGGGCTTACCTATCACTAGGGATTCTCTACTATTAGTATTGGTTCAATAAAGATGAAATTTCCTAACAGCATCCTTGGGCTGGGCTGGGTATGACTCCTGGTGCCTGAAGAAGTCTGACTGCTTAACCTTTGCAGCCCTCACCAGACTGAGGCCATCCCAGCACACCTCAGCCTCCAAAGTCCCATTCTCTAGGGGACAGTTTGGGTGGAGCTCATCTGAGAGCCAGTGACTTATTCCCATGGGCCTCCAAGACAAAGGCATAGCATAGCTTTGTGCTAGAACCAGCAAGGGAAGAATTTAGGGGGCTAAAGAAATAAAAGGGATAGAGAGGGTAGCTTGGATGGAAGGAATTAAACTGGAAAGACCTGGGCTCTGCTATCTCTTGGCTGTATAACCTCAGACAAGTCAGTAAATCTCTCTGGGCCATAGTGACCTCATCTGAAAAATAAAGAGATACCAAGTTCCATCTCATAGGTATGGAGAGCATTCCACATGATAATCCACACAACGTGCCTGGCATAGGGCCTGATGCACAGCCAATGCATGATGATGTAATGGTAAATGCTGGTCTTGATGATGATGATGACTGTGATACCAGGCACAAAAGCATAATGACTATGAGAGTTAGGGGGTTCTTTTTCCAGACCTGGGGCAGTACGGGAACAGGGGAATTTTTTATTTGGAGACTATGGCTCCAACCCATCCATTGCCCTCCCCAATATAGAACCCCAGCCTCCATTACCTATTGCTGCCAGGGTGCCCAGGAGGGTGCCCACGGCTACCAGCTTCGTGGGCATTCCCTTCATGCGGCCCACCTTGCGCAAGCACCGCCCCTCCACATTGCAGCGACACACAATCACTGGGGGAGAGGAAGGTGACAGGAGTCGGGGAGGGCTCTCCTGCTGCTTGGAGACCCGTGTCTGGCCAGCTGGCTAATATGCAGTTTTGTGTATGCGTGTGTGAACGTGTGTGCTCCTTTGTGCAGGTGCTGGCTACACAGAGGTAGGTGGTCCTGGCCACAGTTGTGTAAGTGTGCATGGGCATATGCCATCAGTGTGAGCATCTGTGATGTATACCTATCCTTTACCCTCTGCACCTTGATAGCTCCTTCAGCATCTGCAAATGCCAACCTTGGCTGCATCTGAACTCCCGCCTTACCTTGGACCAGGAGCTGCCATGTGTGGGCATTATGGCTGACGACCACAGGAACTTCATATTCACCTGGTTCTACCCAATGCAGGGCCAGGATGAGGTAGGCATGGGAATCTATTGGGTTGCAGGCAATGAGGATGGTCACTAGCCTAGGCTGGCACCCTGGGGGCTGTTCCTTCTAGGCCCAGCCCCACCTCATCTCACTCCCCAGAGATCCCCCTCCCCTGCCTTGGCCTCAGCCTTGCACTACACACCATTGAGAGGCTGGAGGCGCCAATCCCGCTGCACCGTAGGGTTTGGGCCAAGGGCAAAGCTGTAGGGACCGGGAACACTGGCCAGGTTGGGATCCTCACTGAGTCCACTGACTACCACACCGTAGTCCTGGCGGGGTGTGCAGAGGAATCGGGTGGGCATGGGTGCCAGAGTCAGAGCTGGGGCAGGAGGGGGCTTCAGGAAGTGGACCACTAGAGCAGCAGAGGCGCTCAGTCTTGGCTCATCTGTGATATTGAGGATGAAGGTGAGTTGGGGAGTCCCTGGGGTGGTCCATCCCCCACCTACTGCCTTAGTCACACCTGCTGCCTCCCTGCCACTATCCCCCTACTTCATCCCCTCCTTTATCCTGACACTGTCCCCATGCCAGTCTCTTTCTGACAATGGGCTTCATCCTTTCATTGTCTCAACAGCTGCCCAGCCCACCTATGCCTTTTCAGATGCCCAACCTGCTTTCACTGCCGTTCCCACTGCTGACATCAATGCCCTACAAGGCGGCAGTGCCCTGACCATGGAGAAGCACATCCCTGCTGCTCTGCCCTGGGCCTCCCAACATATCCTCCCTGGGGCCAGCTGTTCACAGCTATCAGAGAGCTGTTCACAATCCTCCTCAGTGGATTGTGGCCCCATTTGGGTCATCTCCCTGCACTTGCCCTGGATGCAGCCCTTGGCCCTCCTTCTACCTCCCCAACCCAGCTCTCTCTGTCTCCAGCCTATCTCTGAAGCAAACACCTCAGGAAGCTCTCCAGGGGCTAATAGACAGGGTTGGGGGATTTCAAGTGTCAAAGTAGTGGGGTGGTAGAAGAGGAGAGGCAGAGGCCAGACCTGCCCAACTGGGCAGACCTATTCTCAGAGAGGGACACTGGACCAGGGTCCTTGTCCTTCTTTCTTGCCTGGGGCTATGTGGTTGCCTGAAAGGGTCCCAGGGAGGAAACTCAGTCTTAGCTATCTCTCAGTTCATCTGAGGTCTGCATGGGGGACTACTGCCATATGTAGTTCTAGCGCTTCCTTCCCTCTGGTCTCCGTTGTTGCCTGGCCATACCTGCATCCTGGGCTTCCACAAGCACCGTGTATGTGTCCCCAGGTTGGGCGCCCTGCAGGGACTGAGCTGTGTGTACTTCCCCAGAGACCTCCTTGATGCAGAGCCAGCCCTCTGAGTCATTGACCAGGGAGAACCTGAGGTCCACAGAAAGGAGTGGAGTGGAAAGGCACTGGAAATACATATGGGGTCCTGCCCGGAAACCTCCAAGATCATGTGATCTGCTCAAGTTCCACATCCTCTCTGTGACTCTGGGGCAGCAGCAGTGCTGGGGTGCCCAGTCTTCTCTCCCAGCTTTCACACTTATTGGGCAATGGATACCATGGGTGGGGGCCTATAGATCATGGGCTGGTGTCTGGATGGGGTCAGAGCCTGGGAGGAGCCTCGTCTGTGCTGTGATCTGGCTGGGCCAAGTCCTCCTTCCAGGTGAGGAGGTATAATTTGAATTTCCATAGAGCCTAACTGCCATCCCCTACCATGCCTATCCAGTCTGTCAAGCCCTGACCCCCATCCTCATCTCAGGACTCACACCCTTGGCACTAGCCACAGTTAGGGTCTCTTCTAGATAATGTGAATCTCCTTGGAGGCCCTGGAGTCACTGGGGGGCAGGGGAGAGCCAGCCCAGGTGAGGGCTCACCTGAGGGTTCTGTTCATGGGATCTGAGGGCTGGATGGTCAGCAGGTGGGAGCCGGCTGGTGTACTGATTGGGACACTGGCTTCATAGTTTTCCTGGTCCAACTTAGGGGGCAGCATCACCCTCTCCACCAGCACAGTCACTGTGGCTGTGGCTTCAGGGCCTGGGCCTGGGCCCACCAGTTTCTCCACATTTCGCACTACCACCACCACCTTGTGGTGGGGAATTGCCTCATAGCTGAGGTTCTGGAACCAATAAAGCTTGGGTCACTGTGTGGGTCAGGGTCTGGCACATTTGTGCTTTGAATGTGTGTGTGTTTGCCCCTTTCCTACCCACCTAGACCCTTACCTTGCGGAGTTTGAGTTGGACATGGTCAGAGCCTGGCTCCCAATCCAGGCCAAAAATCCCTTCCTTATCCCCTGCCTCAATGGCAAACTCCATGAGGCGAAAGGCAGGTTCAAGGTCAGCATCAGTGGCCATGAGTGTGGCCACCAGAGTACCGGGCTCCACATCCTCAGGGAGGCTTACAGGCTCAATCTGGAAAGACGTCGAGGGGACAGTGAGCCCCGCCAGTGCTCTTCCCAGGGTCCCTGTCTCCCCTACTTTTGCTTACCTGGGAGATGGTGAACTCAGGGGCATGGTCATTGATGTCTGTGATTGTGATTTCGACCTCACACATGCTGCTGAGCCCTGAAGCAGAGGAGGACTTGTTGGTGAGGTTCAGGTAAGAACAGGGGGGACAGAAGCCCAGATCACCATCAGGGGACGTACCTTCCTCTGCTCCTGCTAGGTCAATAGCCAGCACCTGAAGGAGGATGTCCTGGCCAGCTTGGAGGGGGACAGTGCCCAGAGTCACACTGCCTGAGGTGGGGTCCAGGGCAAAGGCTCTCCCTTCAGCGCCCTTCTGGGGCTCAGGGGTCAGAAGCTGATACACAATGTGGGAATTGGGAGATCCAGGGGCATCTGCATCCTCTGCCAACAGCTGAGTCACTTCAGTGCCTGCAAGACAACAGATGGGACCACAGTCTTACCTGACACCCACTCATTTGTCTTTTGTGAACTTCGAGTGTGTGTGTGTGTGTGTGTGTGTGTGTGTGTTTTGAAGGACATTGAGATTGAGATGGTGGCCTGAAGCTAGATCCCTACCCCAGCATAGATGGGATGGTTCACAGAGACTCCACCTTTCCCACACCCCTGTTAAGGCCCATAGCCTACCTGGGGCGCTGAGCTCAGGGATGCTGATTGAGGAACCACGTGGGAGGCAGACAGGTGGATTGTCGTTCTCATCTGTCACCACCACATGAAACTCCAGGGGTTTTGCGTAGTCCTCACCATGGGAATTCTGAGCCCAGGCCTGGAGCAGGTACTGTGTATGGGGGAGGTTGGGAGTTCAAGTGAGGACCAAGGGCAGCTCCAGTCTGCTGGGGTCTAGGTCCCAAAACCAAATCAGTCAGTGACTAATACCCTCCAGCCTGCCCCTATGGCTTCCCTCTCACCTCACCTCAGCCTGGGCTTCTCGGTCCAGCTCCATGGTCACATAGAGTTTCCCATCTGCGTCCACATCAAATGGTCCAGGGGGTTGGCTCTCCAGGTGATAGTGCACATTCCCCCCACTCCAATGTACCTGGGAAGAAGACACAGTGAAGAACCCCAGGCCAAGGATCAGGAACAATCCATGCCAGCCCTGTGTCCCAACTTATCCCCAGGCAAGGAGCCTGGGTCCCAACTATCATGTGACCCCAGGCAAATTGCTGCCCTCCCTGGCTTGGAATCCAAGTACAGTCCTTCTTTAGGGCACTTTTCTTTGTGGTAACTTCATAGTAGCCTTTCCTTGGCCCAAGCCTCAGCCCAAAGTGCCTGAATGACCAGGTTATTTTATTTTCTGTCCTCTCAGGCCAGGCCTGACCCCAGGGAATTCCTAGATAAGGCCTGAGACATTCCTGCCTTGGGTGACAATCCCCATGGCAGCAAGAGGAGGCAGCTGTTCTCCTGGAGGAAGCACTGGGCAAACTCAAGAGGTTAGAACACAGAGCCACACCTGCCAGAAGATGGCAGGCAAAGGACTCAGGGCTTGGTCCCTGGGCCTTACATACCTTACTCCACAGTAGGACATGATGGGAAGTGTAGAGGGAGGATTCAGGGTCAAGTTGGGTCCCAGACCCACCTCCCAAACACTCATGAGACTCAGGTCCAGCTGCACCATCCATGGGGCTGGGCATCAGTCACTGATAACCATTTACTCACCTGGGCAATGGGGTGTGGGTATGGGACTTTGAGATTCTCTGCCAGGTGGATGGGCTCTAGGGGTACCCAGGTACTCTGTACTATGGAGACCTCTATGGTGGCTGTAGCCTGGTGGCCTATGGCCTGGTCACCCATGTCCTTGACCTGTACCAATAGTTGATAGGACCCCTCCAGGGCACGGTCTAGGCTGGTGCTCCCTACAAGAGATAGGATGGTTGGTTAAGCATTGGACCAGGGGACAAGTACCAGGTTGTCCTTCTCAGTGGGTACCAAGCGCAAAGCCAAACATATAGAAGGTGCTCAGGAGGCTCTCTTGGCCAAAGGATTAGAGGGGCTTTTAGCACTATCTTGAGTATCCAACTATGATGTGACAGTGTGCAATGTCATTTCCAAATTAACAGTGAGTGGTTGATGGACTGGAGGAGTGGATGGACAGCCAGGATGGGGAAGTGGGTATGTGGGCTGCATCCACTGAATGAATGGATGGTTGACTAGGTCGATAGATAGGGATTTGGGTGTGTGGATGGATGAATAGAATGTGGATGACTGAGTATATTGAGCAGGTGGGCTGCATGGTGGTTGGAGATGGATGGGTGACAGGATGGGTGGCTGGGTTGTTGCATGATTCACTTTGCCTTCCATCCCCAGCCCATGCCTTTGGTCCATGCCCACGGGGGCAGGCTTCTTCTTCCATCCGTCCTAAAGTCTCCAGACTGTAGATCCTCAGGTCATTCCTTTCTGGTCTCCAGAGTGTGGAGCCAGGGTAGTCCAACCCATTTCCTACCTCCCTGTGCATGGTCCAGGCATGGCCTTTGCCTTGCTGCTCTCTCCTCCTCCTTCATCTCCAGCCTCAACTCATCCACCCCTTACAGCTCAGGGGCCCCCTCCTCCAGCATTCCCTGAACCTCCCTCACATCTAGCTCAGGCTCACCCTCGGGGCTGAGGGCCAGAGCTCCCCGCCGAGGCTCTAGCTGGAACATGTCTGATGAAGGCTGAGCTGGGGTCTGGCTCAGGACGTGGAATTGAAGATCTGAGTTGGCTGTGCCTGGAGCATCCCCATCTGAAGCCTCAAGGAAGAGGAAGGGGATACCTGTAATGTGGAGGGAAAGGTAAACTGTAAGGGACAGCAGGGGAGGGAGACTCCTATGCCTCTCCTATTTGTCCCTGGCCCTCCCTCTCATAACCATCACTGTATCAGGATCCTGGAGGTGAGCCACAGATTTTCAACACTCTTCACAGATGGACAAACTGAGGCTAAGAGTGAATGGGTCCCTCAGTGGAGTGGGAAGGGTAGAGGATGGGACAGAGATGAGGGAGCCGCTTAGACCCTGGGTGCCTTGTCCTTGTGTCTCTTTATTCTGCTGTCCCATCAGTGCCCACCTGATTTTGCAGCAAGGTGGCTGCTCTGGTCACTCACCAGGCCTGGTGCCCTGGCTGAGCTGAGCTCTGTAAATGGTCTGGGAAAACTGGGGCACCTGATCGTTCTCATCCTTCACATGCACAATCACAGGCTGTGGACCCCACAAGACATATCCATCTCCAGTCTCCAGGGTGACCTGGCAAGGAAGGGGAGTCAGTGCCTGGTCAGGCCTTTCTTGCTCTATGCTATACCTCGCCCAACCATACCTGTAGCTTGTATTCTGCCTGTTCCTCCCTGTCCAGGGCACTGGTCACCACCAGGAAGCCAGAGTCTGAATCCACAGCAAAGGGACCTTCAGCTGGTATGCCTGAGTCCCCTGATAGCACAATCTGCCCTTCAGGCTTCTCATGGGGCAGCGGCAGCTAGAGGATGAAAATAAATGTAAAAGGGGTGGGGGCAGGCCTGGAAGATGTCCCTTTCACTCAGTGACCTCATTTTATGTGTGGGGAAACTGAGTCTCAGAGGGGGCTGGAGCTTATATGACGTCACACAGCTAGTAAGTAACAGGACTGAGATTCAAACTCAGAACTCTTTCTTTTCTTTCTTTCTTTTTTTTTAAAGTACCAGGGATCGAACTCTGGACCTTGCGCTTGCAGGGCAGGCGGCAGAACAACTGAGCTAAATCCCTGGCCCAAGTCAGAACTCTTTGCCTTGTACCCGATGCTCTTCATACTCCCTACTCATATTTTTAAAGTTGGAACTCTCCACCAACATTTCATTCTTTAGCTGAAACCTCTACTCTCCTCTGGAACTAAAATCTTGCCTCTGGGTCACATTGTACATATATGCCCCTGAAGGCAGGGCTCAAAAGGGAGCTGAAGCAAGAAAGAGGAGTGGTAGGCTGAGTCAGGAGGATCACTGTAAGTTCAAGGTCAGCCTGGGCTACAAAATGAACTCAAGGCCAGCCTGAATTGCATAGCAAGAACCTGTCTCAAAAATGAAATAAATAAAATAAAATAAAATAAAATAAAGTAGTGGTGATGGAGGTGGAGGAAGCAGGACTTTGAGGGGCAAGCTCACCTTGGTCAAGTACAAAGGGAAATTTCCGCCATAGTTCTCAGGGACTTCCACAGACAGTTCTGCAGGCTGGGCCTCAGGGAAAGCCTGTGGGGAATTCTCACCTTGTCCCACCTGGCCATATCTCAGGCCATCTACCTTCTATCTTTTGACCTCCTCATCCCACAATGGGCCCATAGCCCCAGTTCTGCGTCCCCTGCCCCCACACTCCTCCCATGGTCATGGTAGTTGGTCCAGGCAGAGTTAGAAGCAAGAGCACCAATCCCCGAGGCCAGGACCTGAAGGAGGGAGTCAGGGCCTACTCACCTGGGGGATAGAGAAGCAAAGCAGCCAAAGCCAGGCAGGAACCATGGTCAGGGTGGGCCTAAGAGACATGGCCATGAGGATCCAGCCCAGATGGGTGGGAGGGGGATTTCCATCCCCCACACACAGCCAAAGGAATCTTGCTACTGGCAAGCCTCACGTCCTCCCCAAAGGCCCCGTGGCTCCCTCTTACCTGCAAGGAAGTGTCTAGCTCTTCAGCCAGAACCAGTGATGACCCTGGGCCCAGCCACCCAGCCACTTGGCTCTTGCTCCCACAATGACCTCCTTGGGAGTTTCACCTCCACACCTTTGTCTCTTTCCCACCAGAGCTTCCCCAGCTTGTAGATATTAAAGTTGTAATTTTCCAGCAGCCTCCCAAAAGTTTGGAGCTGGAAAGATGACTATAAGGGTCCCTTCCTGTAAATACCTTACACTGCAGGCAAGGACCGAAGGGCAGGGCCTGGCCAAGGTCGTGGAGGACTTGACAGGAGGATTCCTCCTGGAAGAGAGGACTTGTGGCTCGGGAATGGTCCTGCTTCCCACTGCCAACCTCCAGACACGGAGTCCCCCCAGGGAAGAAGCTCTGCCACCATCATGGCATTTTCCAGCACTCAACATGTAGCTCAGCACTAGGAGCATAGACACCACTCCAGGCTGGGTCCCTGGGAATTCTTCCCTGACAGTGGACAAGGGGAAGGCTCCCTCTCAACCCCACCGAACTTTGGCCTGGTCCACCACTGTGTTCCCAGCCCCTCACCCACTGGTGTCAAAGGTGGCTCCTTGGGTCCAGCTGCCAGGAGAGAGGGCTCCTTCTCCGGAGAGATCTGGTCTGGCTGGGCTGGTCAGGGAAGGGCAAAGCGGACACTTGAGCAGGTAGGCGGTCCAACCACGCTTGCTCAGGAGCAGAAAGCGCCACTGGGCTCAGAACAGCAGGCCTGGCTCCGCCTAGCCCCCCAAGTTACTCATTGACTTTGGGAAGCTGGGAGCTGCTCAGCATCCGTGACTACCAGCCCCAGGAGGTGGACCATTCATTGGCCTGGCACTGTGCCGACACAGACCAGTAGGCACAGAACTCTGGGCTTTTCCTGTGGCTCCAGACTCAGTCTCACTTTCCCCCCGTGCATCTATAGGTGCACCTTTGCACACTCTGTTCATTTTCTTTGGATTGTCCTTCTCAGTCCTTCATTGGTGTGGTGAGTACCTACTCATATTTCAGCATTCAGCTCAAATAGTTCCTTCTCCAGGAAAGTGCCCTGTACTCACTGCCTGGCTCAGGGGTCTCCTCTGGGAATGTCCCCATCCCATGCTCTGTGCTGCCTCTATCATTGTGCAGGGGACACCAACTGGTCTCTTGTACATTAGACCAGGAGCCCTTCCAGGAGAGGACTTGAGGACTCAGCCATGACTTGGCCCTCACCCTGCTCTGGCAGCTCCTGACTGGTTTGGGGCTCAGACAAGGACTGGAGTTCACAGCAGATGTAAGGTGGATGAGCAATGCATGACGTGAGGTTGATATTATGGATTCTAGACCACCTGTGGAACCAGGGTTGGGAAGAGAAGCCTGTGCACTCTCCTGAGTTCCCCCAAGTCTTCATGCAGGCTCCATTACTGACAGGACTGGGGCAATGGACTGTCTGGTGCCTCTGAGAAGGAATGAGGAGATTGAGCCAGCTCAGGTCACCTTGAGGGAGTGCCGGGCTGACGGGGGCTCTTCCACCTGGCAGGCTGCCAAGCAGACTCAGGAGAAACTTTTGGGGCTGGGAGTCTGAAAGCCGTGTTGAGCTTCCTATGGACTCTCCTGAGGTCTCTACACTGCATATTTGATTATTCCCTCTCAGGCTGGAAGCTGACCTGGGACCTCTCAGCTGCCCGCAGCCTTTTCACAAGCTAAATGCCTGAGCCAGAGTCACTCAGTTACTCAGCCTGGATCAGTGCTATGTGGAGTCTATGCCATGAAGGGATCTCACATGAGCTCCACTATGCACCCCGGCCCTGCTCTGAGCACAAGCCTTCATTACTCTTCCTCCTCTGTTCTGAAAGGGCACCGTCCCCATGTCACACACTGGGGCACAGAGAAGCTAAGCAGTCTGCTCAGGATCACACAGCCAATAACTAACAGAGCCAGGAAAACCTTGGTTTCTCTTCAGGCCTGGGGACCCTCACCTGCTCTGAGGAAACCATACCCTTCACACACCTCAAAGTATTTTGGTGGCTGCTGGGGGAGCAGCAGCAACTTTGAGAAGTTAACACTGCTTTGGGCACATAGGTGAGTCTCAGAAGTTCCTGCTTCTCTCACACACACATGGAGAAGCAGCCCACAAACCATTTTTTTTTTTTTTGTACAGGAGATTAAACTCATGGCCTTTGTACAACCCCAGCCCTTTTTTATTATTTTATTTTGAGACAGGTTTTTGCTAAGTTTCCCAAACTGGGCTCGAACTTGAGATCTTCCTGCCTCAGCCTCCCAGAGTGCTGGGATTACAGGTGTGTGCCATCCTGCTCAACTCGAAACTCCTCTTGAACAAGCTACCATCAGGGTTCTAACCAGGTCGGTCTCAAAGGCGGCTAGTGGTCTGCAGAATGAATAAACGGAACTAATGAAGAAATGTGTGGATTCTCAGAAGCTGTTGCCTGCCTTGCCCAGGGCTGCTTCCAGGCTTTGGAAACAAGCAGATCTGTGTACCAGTCCCCACTAAGCCAGTTCTCACCTGTCACCAAATGGGAAGGGTTGTTTCCAAAGCTATGCACAGCAGTCCTCCTTATCCATGGGGGATACATTCTGAGACCTCTGCGGGATGTTTGAGCCCAAGAATAGTACCAAACTCTAGATATACTGTGTTTTTGCCTATACATACCTACCTGTGGTAAAACTTTATCTTTTTACTTAAAGAAAGCATTTTATGGCTTCTCTTTGGCATATCTGAATTGCCAGCCTCACTGCTCTTGTACTTTAGGGGCCATACTTAAGTACAATGAAGGCCACTTGTTCACTAGTACTGTGACACCAAGACAGCTGATCTGAAATGGCTTCTAGGTAGCCAACAGATAGGTAGCATATACAACAAGGATCTTCTTGACAAAGGGTGATTCACATCCTGTGTGGGACACAGCAGGATGGTTCAGGATTTCATCCTGCTACTCAGGTCATACCATTTAAAATTTATGAATTGTTTATTTCTGGAATTTTTCACTTAATAAATTCAGAATTCAGTCAACCAAGGATAATGGAAACTACAGAAAGTGAACCTGTAGATAGGAGGAACTATTATAGGTAAACTTATGAAGAGTGAGGGAGCCAGGGGCCCCTTTGTGGGCACGGTTGAGGAGACATCCATAAATGCATAAGCACACATCCTGAAGCAAATACAGTAGCTCTCATTCCAGGCAGGGAGGGCTCTGGGAAGCTGTTCTTGCCAAAATCAAATTAGTCCATGCTGGCCTGGCTACTCATGGAGAACAGTGAGGGCCCCGTCAGTAGCCCAACCTCAGCCAGGAGGTGGAGGAGCCACCTGGAGTCAAGAATGTCTGAGCATACCTCTCTCATCCCCATGCTTAATGAATCAGCCAGTACCTCCCCCCATCCAGGTCTCTGAGTCTGGACCTCAGCTGATTCCTAGGCCCTTAGGTGGGAACAGGGCAGAAATGCCAGCTGCAGAGCCAGATCCAAGGTTCTTGTCTGGCTGTGAGACCTAAGCCGAGACACACTCCCACGGGCAGCTTCAGGTTTTCTTTAGGTATAATGGAGTGACAGAGCCCTTAATCAGCTGGTCACTGCCAAGCCCAGTGAGGAAGAATGATCTGGATAGCTTGAACCTGGAGGGGTTTGTATCTCCTGCTCCTCTGAGGCCCCAACCATGCCTCCTCCCCGGCCCTGCCTCAACTGTCCCTTCAGTCTAGCTGGCCATATCCAGATCCTAACATCAGATCATGATGGCCACACCAGGGCTCCACCAAGGTAGGGTAGGGAGGTCAGTATCTCCCAGCTTCAGAAATCCTTCCTGCTCCTGAGGCCCCCCGCTGGGAGGAAACACAGTCAACAAGCCTGACATGTCAAGAAATAGTCTTTATTACAAAAATCTGTATGTAAACAAATAGCAAGTGGACAGAACACCCTTCCCCCAGGCTCCAGGGCATGCACAGCTGGGTGTAGAGGAAAGCAGTCCCCACGCACAGCCCTGCCCCACAAGCTGGGCCCCGGATGCTGCTGGGATCCACATGGGCCTTCACATGCGTCACTGGGGGCCCAGCCCTCACTGGCCACTGGGAGCTGCCTGCCTGTGTAGAACTGTCTGTCCATGAGGTGGGGGAGGCCCAGTGGGCAGCCCCAAGGGGTGTAGAAGCTGAGCCAGTCCTGAGGCACCTGAGGTTGGCTGGACCAGCTCACCAACCCATCTATCCCTCTGCCTACCACAGTGAGGGGTCTTAAAGGACTGAGAGGTCATGGCAGGACTTGGACTTGGCCCGAAAAGCCATCTTGCGGCTGTTTCGTGCTACGATGCGGCCCAGGAAGCGCTTTGCCTTCTTGCCAAGGCTCTCCCGCCGTCGGCTACCAGCCTGCCTCCGGGCATTGGCCTCTTTGCTGTCCCTGCGCAGGCGTATCTGGCGCACGACCCCTTCAAACAGCGCCTGGACATTGTGGTGCAATGCAGCTGATGTCTCGATGAACTTGCAGTCAAAGACCACGGCGCAGGCCCGGCCCTCTGGTGTGGTGTGGATAGATACACATCAGTAAACAAAGGGTGGGGAGGTGAGGAGCCCATTCAAACCCTGGCCACCCTCTGGCAGCAGCTATCACTCAGGAATCCTTGAATAAGGCAAGGGGGAGCCCTGGGCCCTCCCCAGAAACACAAAGACCCTAGCCCCTGTACTGAAGATTCCTGGCACTGCTGGGTCACCCCAAAGGCTGAATGTGCCGGTGTTTAAGGAGTCCTCGAAATGGAGGTGCCCAGAAAGGGATTCATTTATTTATTTGAAGTCCAATATTTAAATACAAGCACTGTAGTAGTCAACCAACAAAAATGAGAACTGTTTTGGACAGTTTAGTGTCTTATGATTTAATGCTATATTATGCTAAATGACATAGTGGCCTGAAGGGAGAGGCAATGTCACCAAGGCACTGGCAGGTTCCTCTGAGGGGCTTGGTGCTGGGGGCCACAGAGAAGGATGCTGAGCCCAAGAGAGAAAGGGCAAGCTTATACTGAGACTGGCCTCAGCCTGGCTCTTTCCTTCTGACCTGGTTCCCTGTACTCTCTCCCAAAGGGGCAGGGGAGGAGGGTTCTAAGGTGACTCAGCTCCCCTAGCAGATTTGGTTCTTTCTCCAGGCCTTTGGGAGGGGCAGTAGCCCTCTCTCTCTTTCTTCCCCTTTAAGTTTTCTTCCTGAACACTTTTAGCCACTGATGATCCCCAGGGATTCAGGCTGAGAGGACTCAAGACTGACCAGACCGAAGCCCAGCCAGGATCTCCCACCCTTTCCTGAGCCTCTGCCTACTCACCATCCACAGAGACTTCACGGGAGCGCACCAGATCACTCTTGTTGCCCACAAGGATGATGGGGACATCATCTGTCTGCCGTGCTCGCCGCAGCTGGACCCGAAGTTCTGAGGCCTTCTCAAAGCTGCCCTTGTCAGTTACTGAGTACACGATGACATATGCATCCCCCATGGCCATGCAGTGGCCAGGCAACCATCGACTCCCATCCTGGAGAGCACACACAAATGCACACACCTACCCAACAGTCCTTGTGCCCCTGCCGTGAGCCTGTCACTCCTGGCTGGATCCCACCCCAGTTTACTCCTCCTATTCCTACCCAGGATCCCAGCTGCAACCTACCTGCTCCCAAATGTCATAGACCATGAGTGATGCTTCTTCTCCATCCACCACGATGGAGCGATCATAAGTGTGCCCTAGGCAAGAGGCCAGCAAACAGGTTACCAGTTGGCTGTCAAAAAAGCCTCCCCTGCCCCTTTTCCTATTTTGGCCACACCCTCCCAATTCTTCCCAGAGCCCCACTAACGTTCCTTCCACTTGCACATGATTACTACTGCAACAGAAGGGAGAGTGTTGGGGCTTGGGGAATGCAGGGCAAGGTGTGCCTGACCTTCCCACATGTCCCCAAGATAGCAATGTCCTGGAGGTCCACTCCAGCATTCCCTGCTGCCAGGCCCCACGGTGACTCTGATCACAGTGTCCTGAGTTAGAATAGTGATTGTCACACCCCTTGCCTTGGCTACTTAGGGCTCTGGTTCTAGAAACTCCCTCTGATTGTGTTTCTGCCAACCCCAGCAGAGAGGGATGTCCAACCCCTATGACACAGAGCAATCATAGCCAAGCCTCAGGTCTTCTATTCTGAGCGTTTCTTCCATATCAATAGCTGGCAAGTGGGGTATAGGGATGGTGTCCCTTTTTCTTTAGTTTCCCCATCTTGAAATGGGATGGCAAAGGAATAATTCTGAAAGTGCATTTACAATTCCATGATGTTTGTCCATTTAGTCCAGTTCCCAGGGCATCCCCACTCCTTTCCATCCTTCCCTGAAGAGCCCACCCCCTCACCTGCAGCCTCTGCTTCAGGGCCGTCCTCTACACCACCGAAGATGCGTGCCAGGGCGCTCTTGCCCACGCCAGATGCCCCCAGCAGCAGCACCTTGTATACATTCTCATCAGAGTCGCTGCCCCCTGAGGTGAGAGAGTCGGAGGAGCCCTCGGCCCAGTCCAGCCTCGGACCCTGGGTCGCGGTGCCTGAGCCGGCCAGGCTGGTAGCTCTGGCGCCCGGGGCCAGCGCCGCCTGCAGGTCGCGGTCGTCTACTGGCATGCTGCGACGGTGCAGCGTGGGCGCCGCGCCCCAGGGGGTGCTGCCTCTACGGCGCTCGCGCTCCCTGCCCGCGCCGCGGCTCCCGCCGACCCCGCTGCCGCCGCCGTTCAGGGTCATCGCGTCGGATATGCCGTCTGAGGGACCAGAACCAGCATGTCCGCATAAGTCACAGTGGGGAGGGACCGGACCGAATCCTACTCCCAGCCACAGGGTCTTTGCACCCTGATCTGTGCCCCGTCCGGGCCTGGCCCATCCATCCCTAGCCCAGACGGTGCGGCCCACCCGTCTACTGGAACACTTACCCACTCGCACGCAGGTTCTTTGAGGACCAGGAACTAGACTCTGATATGGCCCACGGCGGGGCTCAGATACAACCAACTCTCAGATCCGGGTTCAGACAGTCGGACCCTCGCTGCTACTGCAGCTGCCACCTTCCTTCTCTTCGGCCTCGTCGGTGGGCTCTGGGTCCGGGCTCCAGAGCCGCTTATGTAAACCTCCGCCGGCCTCCGCCTCCGCCCCCGCCCCCGGTCCAAGATACTGAGGGGGCTGACGTGTCCGAAACTCCCCCTCCCCGTCATCCCTCTCCCTCCAGCCACCGCGGGAATCCCCCACCTCCTCCTAGGACCTCTCAGTAGCAGAATCACCCCCCTCCCCCGCCCTGCCAGGGGCGGGGCAGGTAGTCAGCTGCCCAGACCCGAGTGTAAAAGGGGAGAGGGGAGAGGAGGAGAGGGAGTGTGATGTTGGGAGGGGAAGGCTTGAAGGGAAGGCAGGCAGTGGGTAAACTGGACCAGTCAAATGCAACTTCCCTCTGGGAAATTAGATCTGGCCCTTTAAGAGCGAATTCTCTCTCCCAGTCCTGGCCTCTAGCCCAAGCAATTAAACTGGTTGTGGGCCCAACAGAGTTTCCGCCTTCTAGGCCCATGACACCCACTCCCTACAGGGCCAGATCCAAGCTAGAATTTAGGGGTCCTAAACTGGCATTTGTAGCCTCAACACCAAGTCCTTCTCACTCCCCTCTGTCGTGGGGAGTTGAAGATTCTCCTTAATGAAATTGGCCTTCAGGTAAGGGTTGGGGTCCTATGAACCCCTGGGAGTCATCAGAGGGTTGCTGAGGAGAGGCCTTGAATACAGAGGAGGAAACACAGGCCCAGAGAAGAGAAAAGATGAACTCAGTCCCCACCCCACCTCCCCAGTACCCTCCAAGCAGCTGCCAGCAACTCTGCTAAAAATATCTGCCCCTGGCCTGGCCCTGGTCATTCTGCTCCTGGGCTGGAGATTGGCCAGAGTTGGGAAATCCAGGCAGCCAGTGTGGGGAGCCAGTAGGAGCCAGTCACTTTAGTCTGAACACTTTCCCTGCTCCCTAGCCCTGAGCTGAACCTACTGTCCAGCTCACATCCCATCCAGGAGGGACACAGATACAGCGTGGTCAAGAGTGTCTTAGCCACCACTAGTGCACTCCCTGTCCAGTGCTCACTCTCCTTCAGACGTAATGTGGCATCTGAGGGCACAAAGGGAAGGAGAGGTAATGAGGAGACTTGATATCTAGTCCAGGCTCTGCCTCTGGCCTGCCGGGTCTTGCCTTTCTCCCGCCCTCAGCTTGCCGAGCTATAAATTGGGCATCATGACCTCCTATTCCCGCCTTACTCATCTTTAGGGTCTGTAAGGATTGGGAGCGGACAGGCTGAGGAGTATTCTGCAACAGAGCCTTCCTATCAGTCTCTGATGTTTGAGTGTAGTAGGGGTAGGAAGACACCCGTTTGGTGCTCAGGTGATATCACAGATGGATGGACCCTAGTGAGCTGTTGCAGGTTGTCATGGAAACCTGGGCCAGATTCTGGCTGCTATGTCAGTTTCCTTGGCAACACTTAAGAAGGTCTTGAATTGAAGAGGGCCTAGCTAGGTAAGGTTAGGGAGTTCAGGCAGGGCAGCTCATGCTGGCCTTGGCTTCCTGGATGAGGGCTGGCCAGAAAAGGAAGGCATGGATGGGCCCAGGTCCTGTCAGGACAGAAATCTCAAGAGCCTGGCCCAACACACACACTGTGTTCTGGAAAGAGCCTCTAAATGTCTAGCACAGTGTCTGGCAGTGTGAGTTTGGGGGTAGGCTGTGGCTCTTCCCAGCAGGTGGCCACACTGGGGGAAATAGGGCTGGCTTTCCCCTCTAGTAATCTGAGCTCTTGACCTCAGCATTGTGTCTTCATTGCCAGGGGAACTGCATCCACACAGGGCTACCCAGATCCCAGGAATTCTGGTGGCTGTCTCAACAGGTCAGAAACATTCATCACAAGCCTGGGTATGGCCAGGGACCCCAGGATTTAACATTTGGACATGACCTTGAGGCACCCCTTTCTCACTTCCTAGTCCTCCCAGCTCTCTGGGGTAAACTTGGCTGCCCAGAAGGAAAAAACCTGAGACTGGAACCAGGCCCAGGACCCTCTGTCCTTTTCTAGCTGTGTTTCATCCCTGTCCATTTATCCTGGCTGAGTCCATTTTGTCTTGGGGAGATCAGGGATAATGTCTTCCTGGGGGTTGTTCTGAATAAATAACATGAAATTTAGAGGTAAAGTAGTTGGCTCCAGTCTGGCACATGGTGATATTTCAGCAAGAATACTTCTATTATCATCACCCTTGGTTGCATGGGGCAGACTGAATCCAGAGGCCCTCTCACTTCTGGTCTATTCTCTCCAGGATAGTAGTTTGCCCAGGAAAGGGGAAGTGATCTCGGGATTAATGCAGATAATTCTCTCATGTCCCCCATACCTCTCTCTTCTCTGTGGGACCCCACATTCTCCTTCCTCCTTCAGGTTACAAAATGCTGCAGAAGGAACTTATTTGGGCTTCTGTGTCCTGCCCCTTCTCACACCACAGCCCTTGAGTCCCAGGGCCTCTGCTCTGTTTTAAGGCTCAGTTCGTTCATTCGTTCGTTCGTTCCTTCGTTCCTTCCCTCCTTCCTTCCTTCCTTCCTTCCTTCCTTCCTTCCTTCCTTCCTTCCACTGAGCATCTATTGTGTACCCGGCCCTTGTGTTGGGGGCAGAATGATGAGTGAAAATAGACATGGCTGGGCACATTTATATGCATCATCTAATCTCTGGGTCAATTTTTTCAGCTATGATTTGTTGTTCCCATTTTGTAGACATGGTAACTGAGGCCTGAGGGGTCATGGTTAGAAACAGCAGAGACAGATATACCTGGTGGGGGTTTCAGAGACCTTAAGCTTCGTCACCTCCCTGTACCCCAGTGTCCTCACACAGCAGCTGGGGTTCCGGAAAGTTCCATGGGCACTGGCCCAGTGTGCACAGATGGTGTCCTGAAGGCAGCCAGGGACCAGGCACAGATGAGTCAAAACTGTCAAGGGGACTGTTTGAAATGCCAGTTGTGGCATAAGCAGGCTGGTATCCCTTACCCACTGTGGCCTGGCTGTCAGGAGGGCCAGAGGAATGACTCAGAAACACCTGTCTCCCTTATGGTCTCCCCCTCTGCCCCCCCGGGCTGGACACAGACACCACAGCCACTTTACACAGATAGGGTCTGTGTCAGGGCAGAGGTTCACATGTGGTGAGGCCTACAGTGTGGGAAGGCTCCCTAGGCCTGATCATCCTGGTCAGTCACCTGCCTCTCTGGAGCACTCAGCTCCTTCATCTGTGGAAATGGAGGATCTAATGACTGGAAAGTCATCTGAGATAGGCCGGGCTGGGCATTTTATATCTCCACAGAGCAGTCTCAAGGAATTGCCACATCACAGATGAAGAAACTCGGAAAGACATGAGCTGATGTCTTCAATTTTCTCATCTTGAGCAGCTACATCCAAAGGCTCCTCTTGGTCATTAGGTGGCATAGCCACTCCTAAGAGTGAGTTGTGGAGACAACAGGTGTTGCAGTTTGGGGTGGGCATAGGTTCCTATATGGAGGCAACAGTGCCCCCTGCCAGAAAGCACCTGTCAGGCTACTCAGATTCCTCTTTATTTCCTAGCTGGAAATACAAGGCAACTATTTATTCTAGAAGCCTGTTTTCTCACCTATAAATTGAGGATAAAAAAAGCAGCTGCCACATAGGCCTGGATGGAAAATGATCAACTGTACAGTAAGTATAAAGCCCTCAGCCCAGTGCACTCTCTGGACAGGCTCAGTGTTGTCAGTGGGCCCTCAAGAACAAATTGGCAAGTGCCCAGGCTCCCAGCTGAAGCTTCCTGAGGTCTCAGCCCACAATCACATCTGAGCTCCAGCAGGGATGACGTGTTCCCATTTGTCCTGAGAGAGAGACTGAGGTTAGGAATCCTGAGAGCTTTGGAAAAGAGCTCCTAAGTGGCTGAGCCAAGATCCATGCCCCAGATCTCTCTGGGTGACCAAGTGCACTTTGCTCACAGAGCTGGGGGAGGGGGGCAGAAGCCCCAGAACTACCATCACATCATGGAGTAGAGCTTCTGCTATCAGCACTTGAGGTGACATGCACCTCTGGGAGAGCTGACAGAGGTTCCTCAGGATCCTTTTAGTACAAAAAGCTTTAGCAGTGCCTTGAGCTGGGGGCCAGACTAGAGGACCAGCTTTTTCTGCATCACCACCAGCAGGATAAGCTGGCATCACAATGTATTGGTGGGTGTTATAGGATGCATGACCCTGGGCAAAAGTCCTTCTCAAACTTTAACTCATTCAGGCCGTCAGACCGATCTTTAGTTTATAGGAAACACAGCAAAGAAATGAAATCAAGTTGTAAGGCTTCTCCAGGACAGCTCAGCTGGCTTTTTCCAAAAGTCAGTGTCAAGAAATACAAAAGTGGTGGCACATGCCTGTAATCCTGGCATGGAGGAGGCTAAGGCAGGAGGATTGCTCCAAGTTTAAGGCCATAGTGAGACGATCCTGAGCTACTAGTGAGATCCTATCTCAAAAGCAAAAACCAAAATTAAAACAAGGGTGGGAACTATAGGTTGCATCTGGAAATGTTCCCCAAAGGCCCATGTGTTAAGAGCTTGTTCCCTAGAATGGTACTACTGGGAGGTGAAACCTTTAAGAGCTGGGGACTAGTGGGAGGTTTTCAGGTTGTTGACAGCTTGCTGTTGAAGGGTAACAGGACCCCAGTCATATTTTCTTATTCTTTTTTGCTTCTTGGCCACGAGGTGAGTGGCTTTGCTCTGTCACATCCTCCCCATCATGATCAGTCACAAGCCACAGGCCCAAAGGTAATGGGGTCAACCATGGACTGAAACCTTCAAAACTGTGAGCCAAAATAAAACTGTTAGCTCTAAGTTGATTATCTTAGATATTTGATATAGTGAGGAAAAGCTGACAGACAATTGTAGAAGAGGATATAGAGAGATAACAACCAAATGCAATACATAATAAGCTTTGAGTGGATCCTGATTAAAAAAAAAACTAAGAATGCCATTTGGGGGATATTTATATATGACTGAATATAAGAGTAGAAGAATTACTAATTTTTTGTCCAGGTAAAAGTACTGTGGTTTTACTAACTTATCTAATACTGATGTGTAGGACACAATACTTGAAAGTGAAGGGTCATATCTCTTCAGATTACTCTCCCATAGATAGTATTTATATTTATATACACACATAAATAAGGCCAGTGTTTTAACAGGTTAAGAGCTATTGAATGTAATGGTGGCATTACTGGGTATACAGATATATTCACATATTACTCTTTCAATACTTTTTGTATACTTACAACTTTCCCTAATCAAAATCCTGGGAGAAAATTTAAAAATTACTGAAACCACAACACATTGATCCATCCTGTATACCACTACCACTATCTTTTCCCAAATCCCAGTGACTCCACCAAGATGAAAGATGATTATGACATACCAAGAAATGAATATAAATTAAGGGTTTATTACAAAAAGCAAAATGTTAGTTTCTTATTATCAGTGATTCAAGAAAACAAAGCCATGAGTCCCGGATGAAGCTGAGGTTAGGACACTGGTGCATGATGAAGGTCAAATCCAGTCTCAGGAGCGGGCTGACAGGCACTGATTCACAACCTCCAGCAGGTGGGTGTTCTCCAAGGCAGCTGCCACTCGCTCCTTATCTGCAAGCTGTTTGTTCACTAAGTGGGAAGGAAGAGTATGAAAGACAGAATCAAAGCCAGGCTCTGGCTAGAATGCTAGCTAACGCCGCTTCCAAGCCTTAATGTAGTATGTCCTACCAATAAGGGTTCCTATCCAGGGACCCTCAACCTTTGATTAGCCTGAGCCCCTATCTATGCTGCCTTCTTAGGAGCCCCTCCCACCTGGCTGCTCATGTCTGCTTCCAGTACCGCTGAGGTCTGACACACTGGACCTGTGTACTTGGGGAGTGCAGGAGGGGAGTACATGGAAGGCAGAAGACTTGGGTCAGGCCACCTTTGGTCTAGGATACCACCTTCACTGAAGAGTTTCTGGCAATTTCACTAAGTGGGAATTCTCAACCCCAATCCTGTCTTACAAACCAGTGTAGCAAGGGGGAAGCCTCAGACAATTTAAGACCCCAGGACATTACCAATGCCATCAGTTCACAGACTTACCTGCATGCTCCGAAGCATGGGTCCCTGGTGTAATGTGCACATCCATCTGATAGGGAGATATCTGAGCCTGAGCATCCACCCACCTTTTTGGCCCCTTCCCCCAGGCCCCAGGGTGCCTCCTCCAATTGATCCCTCTTTCTAAGCACACCTCTAGACTCTAGCTCTTCCATTACACTCAAAATCCAAATCTTTTTTTTTTTTTTTTTTTGGTACCAGGGATCGAACTCAGGACCTTGCACTTGTGAGGCAGGGGGTGGAACCACTGAGCTAAATCCCTGGCCCTCCCAAATCCAAATCACAGGCCATCCCTGACCCAAACCCATCCACAACTTCTACTTCCCTTCCTGCCACACTCCTCACTACTTTTCTGTACTTTCCAGTTCACATCTTTATTCTTGTCACATCAACTTGGAGAGTTTCCTCTGTTTCATTTCTGCTAGTTGCAGTCCTTCCAGAACCCATTCTGATGTTCTTGCTCTTGCTGTCCTCTATCAGACCCTTGGGGGTTCAACTCCAACTGACCTTGAAACGCTGGGGAAGGGAGCGCAGAAGCTTGACTTTGATGGACAGGCCAATAAGAGTAGCCATGCTGCAGTGTGGAATGGTGGGTGTAAAGGCCACTGCCACTGTGCTGTCAGGGTCACTAACCTGGTGGTGGTGAGGAAGAGATGTTAGGGACCACGGATACCTCCAACCCAGAGGGTCTCTTGGTTTGCTGGTTTGGGCAAGGTCGTCTAGCTTCTATGGCTTCAGTTTCAACATCCATAAAATGGGCATAAGAGTTCTTCTTCCAAAGATTTCCCCTAGGTATCCGTGAGTGAAGAAATGCCAGTCCCTCATGTATAGTAGAGCCCTCTGACTCTCCTGAACAAGCTGCTCTTGTCACTGGGAGTAACTCACCTGAACCCTAACTTGCTCTACTACATTCAATTCCTCCAGCGTCAGTGGATGCTCCGGGTCATTGATAGAACGAATAAGATGTAGTATCAAGTGAAGGAAAATGGACTTTACGTTTTTCCCCACTCAGAACTCTCGGCCAGGAATGCCTGACTGGGATACTCCTCCACCAACTGTTGAACCTCACGGCTCCTTCCCAAAGACCCAAAAACCCGTCCCTCGCCCAGCAGCGGCGGATATCGAAGATCTCGCGCGCGTCGATGCTGTCTGGAACCTGCTCGTCTTCCTCGCCCGCCGTCACAGGCCGCTCCCCGGAACGCTCGTAGATGAGCGGGTTAGCGTTCTCCAGGAGGCCGCCGCCGCCGCCGCCGCCGCCGCCGCCGCCGCCACCGCCGCCGCCACCTCCACCTCCGCTAACACCTACCATCCCGGAACTACTGTGGACCGCAGTTTGCATACACTTCCGCTCCAACAGGCGCACTTCCGGGGAACAGGAAGAGGCGTGGCGTGGCTACGGGGTCGCACGAGGGACTTGCGGCGCTGTCATTATTCAGGTGGGAATTTAATAGAATCAGTGGGCTATATAAGCCTGCTGGGAACTGGGATGCAATGACCAAGGCCAGTTGTCCTAGGGGACTAAGAGCCGTCTGAGGTTAAGCCCTACACCTCGATCTCCAGGAAGTCTGGTGGACTGGCGCTCAGGTGCTCAGGCTGGCTTCCCTCTATCCTGGCTAGGTTCTCCGTATTTCCGAAATCTCTGTGGTTTCCTGCCCCTCCCCCATAGAACCATAGGCCCGGGAATTACCTGCCAGGAACAAGATTTGGGGTCCACCAGGTACTTGTTAGGTATCTGTTGGGTGGATAAGTGACTGTGAAGTCAACTTCGACTGGAGAGGACAGTGAAACCCTTTCCCGCCCCCTCCTGGGTGGTCATTAGGAAATGCTACTTTGGGCCGGGGATTTAGCTCAGTGGTGCGCCGTCTGCCTCGCAAGCTCAAGGTCCCGAGTTCGATCCCCGGTACCCACCCTCCCCTAAAGAAAAGAAAAAAAGAAAGAAAGAAATGCTACATTGGAAGAGACTGAGTAGGGAAGGATCTGCACTCACTTTCAGACCTTAGACAATAAGGGAGGACGGACTGTGAAGTGGAACCCAGTAAAAATTGAGTCTTGAGTCCCTAGTTCCAGTCCGGAAGGTGAGGAGGAGCTTGGTCAGGATGAAGGGCACAGCCACAACTCCCTGCCTTTGTTCAAGCCCTTCCATTCTGTTCTTCCAAATCAAAATTTGATTCCCTTCTCCATCTTTGGGGATCCTCATTCCACACTTCCTCAGACAGCACTCCTGGGTTCTCCAGTTACAGCTTCTTGCCTCCTCCTCTTGACCCTCAATACTCTCTTCCAATGACTGCCAAGACAACAGGCATAGTGACTTCAGTTTTGAAAAGAGGGGTTCCTGCTATCTCACAAGGACTGCAGAAGACAAGAGATACCAAAGAGAGCTGGAGAGAGGGAAGGTGGCCACACTCCTCCTTCTGGCTCCTGGCTTCCTGGACCTCTGTCTGCCTCACAGTGCATTCTTCAACACCTCACTTGCCCTGCCCACTCCATGCCCCTCCTACTCCCTGCCAGGTTCAAACTCCAGCCAGAGCCAGACCTTGCTCCCCAGCTTCCTGTTGAGGAAACACCGCTCGAGCTCTGTAGCAGAACAAAAACTGGCCTACGAGCACCCATGCAGCTTGATCAGCTTCCTTTCCAGCTGAATTCTGTGGTCTGTGGGCTCCTGCTTCTCCTCGTCTGTGGCCAGGGTGAGATTCCTGCAGGGAGTGGTAAGGACTGGGGTCTTACCTGAAAACTGCAGAGGCAGAGCCTGAGAATATGAAAGAGAAGTTCCAGAGAGGGAACAGCTGGTAGAGATGACAGATTATAGTGTGGGAATCCTGAGCCCACTGAACACCTCCAAACCTGGCAAGTGCCCAAGGTGGGCCCTGGAAGAACAGAAAGGGTTAGAGCTAAGGACACCCAACACTTTGGAGGGAGGCCAATATGAGAGGCTATGAGAAGCACTGGAAAGGCAGGTCAGAAGCCTTCAGGCAGAGAGCTGGAATTCTGGTCATTTCAGTCCTGTGTGTGTCTCTGTGGTTGTACCTGATCCTGGCCCTCAGGTGTAACAACAATGACAGTAGTAGCTTCCTGCAGTCATTTGGTTCTGAGTGTGATACCCTCTTAGCCTGAAAAGTGCCCTAGTACTCCCTAAAGGTGCCTCAGGCAGGGAATAGGTCTTGGAAGACACAGAGGCCCCTGACCATATATTAAGGCTGAACTGAGAGGCCACTGAGTCCCTTTACACCGTACACTCAACCTGGGGCAAAAGCATGGATTGGCTTTTGGTGGAAAGGTAATGAGGTATATGGCAGCCAAGCAGCCTCAGGACCCTTATTAGGAGCTGATGCCAGGAGGGCTCTGTGTGCAGTGTGTGACTACAGCCTTTGACCCTCTCAATCAAAGGCTTCTAATGTGGGGCCCGATGATCTCCCTCACCCTTCCCCAGTCCAGTCTATCTAGGAGGAATCAACACACATTTCACTGCCCGGGCACACTGTGCTATACTTCCTTCCTTACATGCTAATGACCAGGCAGTGATATTATGAGAAAAGAGTGTGACAACCAGGATCTCTGTGAAGCCAGGATTTTCAGATCAGAGACCCTGACAAGCTGAGGATGGCAAGGAGATGGCAATAATCACAGTGTGGGAGGCAGCTGATCGGGCAGACCTCACTCTCATGTGCATTTCTCTGCCCACAGCCCTGGACTCTGCCAGCCCCATCCGGAGCACAAACACTGGGCAGGTGCGGGGCAGCCTCGTCCACGTGAAGGGCACTGATGTGGGAGTCCACACCTTCCTGGGAATTCCATTTGCCAAGCCACCTGTAGGATCACTGCGGTTTGCAGCCCCTGAGGCCCCTGAGCCCTGGAGTGGTGTGAGGGATGGAACCTCCTACCCTGCTATGTAAGCTCTCTGGGGAGCGGGGAAATTCAGGCCCTAAAGAAGGGTTGGGTGCCTGAGCTCAGGGTCAGGCTGCAGTGGCTCTGCCATCTGAATCCTGCAGCCAAGTTTCCTCTGCATTCTGTGGGGGGGATTCCCACTGTGAACATGCTAGGCTGCAGAGGGTAGAGGAACTATGTTAGACTCTTGGCTCGGGCCCTAGAAGCCTAAAGGTATTGGCACGAGGTCCCAAAGAGAGGGGCTGAGACAAATTTCTTTCCAGCTTTGGATTATGCCACATGTTCTATGACATTGGGGAGGTATCTGGAAGAGATCAGATTAACCTGTGAATCTTGTAAGAACCTCTGATCCAGCAGCAGATACTGCAGCTCTCTTAGGAGGACAGTAGTGCAAACCCCTTGGAGACTACAGCCTCTATAGTCACCGGGCCAACTGACAGGGCAGGTACCCTGGTCTGGTTCTGACAAGGCTTGGAATAACTGTCCGCCATCGCCCCCAGGTGTCTGCAAGATGCGGACATAATGAAGATGTTTAATATGACCGCTCCTTCAGTCCCTGTAGCTGAGGACTGCCTGTACCTCAACATCTATACACCTGCCCATGTGCATGATGAATCTCGCCTGCCTGTAAGTGTCAAGCCATGGTCATCTTGGGTCTGGGAAGACATTTCTTCTCCAAGATTAGAAGGTGGCTAAAGATGTGGCTTGATGACAGACATATGCCTATCAAGCACAAAGTTCTAGGTTCAAGCCCAGGCACCACAAAATCAAATGAAAGTGAAGGAGAATGACATTAGAATGGACATGGTCAGTCTGGTTCTGTTGCAGTGTGGACCCTACTGTGAAGCCTTCTGCTATGGAGTCCAAGAAGGGCTTCTGAAACAGGATGGGTGACTGACTCCTAGGCATGAAGTCTTAGAGCCCTTACTGGTACCAGAGACCAGAACTCTTGAAAACACCCAAGAGCTTAGCTATGGTTTTTCTGTTGGGCCAATGAAATAACATTTTTAGTAGTCTTTACTGGGAGAATATCAGAAACTCCCATCCGCCTTTTCTCCATTGCCCAGGGGTCAGACAGTAATAGATCCAGGCTGGGATTCATGGGGTTGACCCCAAAGTGAGTGTCCTGGTCTACATGATTGAACTTGGGTCTGTCAGCCATGACTCAGGTATGTGATCTTACTGGAGTCCTATGTGATAGTTATACAGAGTCTAAGCAGTGAATAGTGTACGAGGAGGCCAGGTGGTATATTAGCTGGGAAGAATCCACATGGCCTCTGTCTTAATTTCCCAGGTGATGGTATGGATCCATGGTGGTGCACTAATTTTAGGCACGGCTTCCTTATATGATGGATCTAAACTGGCAGCTTCTGAGAATGTGGTGGTGGTCACTATCCAGTACCGCCTCGGTGTCCTGGGGTTCTTCAGGTGTGTCTGGGGTTGGGCTGGGAAATAAGGCTGAGCAGAGCCAGAATAAGCTTGTGATCCCTGTCCTTGTCATTTCTCAGCACTGAAGACCAGCACGCCACTGGTAACTGGGGCTTCCTGGACCAAGTGGCTGCCCTACGCTGGGTGCAAGAGAATATTGCTCACTTTGGAGGCAACCCTGACCGTGTCACCATTTTTGGGCAGTCTGCAGGTGGCGTAAGCGTATCTTCACTTGTCTTGTGCCCCATGTCTCAAGGACTCTTCCATGGTGCCATCATGGAGAGTGGGGTGGCCCTGCTGCCTGATATCATCTCTAGCTCATCTGAGAACATCTACACAGTGAGTGCACTCAACTACCCCTGCCCAGCACCACTCTTTCATCCCTCACCTTCAGAGACTTTGTTGCACTGCCATTCAATGAGGATAATGAGGGAAGTTGAAGTGCCTTGGGAACTGTTGCCTTCCAAGGAATGCTGAGGTCCTTAAGGGTGACAATCCATACAACTCTTCCTCTAAGAGGCAGAGCATGCTCTGTGGTCAGCAAAGCTAACTCAAGGGGCTCCCATTGTGGGTAGAACCATGGAAACAAATGTCCCATCTGGCTGAGACTTCAGAGCAACAGGGATGATAGAAGAATTTCATACTGGCAGCAATTCGTACAGCTTATGCTGACATTTGGGGTTTACCTGCATCCAACTGGATCCTCTTCCTGCCTGGAAGGATGAGCCAGCCCATGCCTGAACTAATTTCAGATGGTGGCCAACATGTCTGGCTGTGGGCAGATTGACTCAGAAGCCATGGTGAGATGCTTACGTGGCAAGAGTGAAGAGGAGATTTTGGCTATTACAAAGGTTGGCTGCTCTCAGGTGTGGATGAAGGGGGTGATATTGTCTGAGAGTGAGTCCCTTTCACTCTGGGCTAATAAAGAAAGTCATCTGCATCTGTCCCTGTCCATGTAGATCTGTATGGGAAATGTGCAGAAGGATTTGCTAAGACAAGTTTGGAATTTATTAGGTGGATGTGAGCATCCTGGGATGAGTTAAGGGGGGCTGGAAATAAGTCACTGGGCATTAGAAAATATCTGAGACCTGATGTTGATCCCTGATGTGAATGCCTCCTCAGGCCTTGGAGATCATCCCTGCTGTGGTGGATGGGGCCTTTCTTCCTAGGCACCCCCAGGAGCCGCTGGCCTCTGCTGACTTTCAACCTGTCCCCAGCATCATTGGGGTCAACAATGATGAGTATGGCTGGGCCTTGCCATGGTAAGTCCCAGACCCAGTAGTTTGGGGTGCACATTTGGTTTGTAGGAGTTACACAGGTATAGGCCAAACCCAGTCTCAACTCTATACCATTCCTCCACTGTCCAGTCTTTCGGCTCTGCTGACACCCAGAAGGAAATGAACAGAGAGACTCTGCGGACTGTTCTGCAGAGCATGTCAGCACAGATGGTGAGGCCCCTGTGTTCCTACCCCAAGGATATGGCACCCCCAAGTTCGTGCCCATGCAGCTATTCCATCCTACAAAAGCTGAACTGTGTATTTGGTTGTGGGTGGGGTCACCCCCTTTCACTCCCAAGTCTATGACCTCTCAGCTGTTTTCCTTCCCTAAGATTCCTCATGCACTCAGAAACCTGCCTAACCTAACTCTCCACAATCTGCCCGAGCTAGATGTTGCCTGCTGGGTTTGGTGACCTGTTCATGGAAGAGTACATGGGGGACATTGAGGACCCCCAGGCCCTCAAAATCCAGTTCCATGAGATGAAGGCGGATTGTATATTCGTGATTCCTGCACTCCAAGTAGCACATTTTCAGCGTGAGTATGTCTATAACTGAGGCCTGACAGCCTAGGCAGTAGCTCAGAGCTGTGAGTCTCAGGCGAGTTCTGTAGATTCAAGGTCTGGTCCTATATCTTTTTTTTGTGGGGGAGGGTGGTACCAGGGATCAAACTCGGGTCCTTGCGCTTGCGCAGCAGGCAGTGAAACCACTGAGCTAAATCCTCAGCCTATGGTCCTATATCTTTTTTGAGACTGTGGCTCCAGGCACTTGATGGCCTTCATCTCAGTTAATCTTCATCATTAAATCTCAAGAAAAATGTGTAATTCTGGAAGTTCATAATTCCTGATATCAAAATATACTACAAAACCTTAGTAACAGAAACAGCATGATAGTAATGCAACATAGATCCGTAGCCCAATGAAAAAGAATAGGAAACACTGTAACAACTACATCAAATTGATTGGTTGATGGCTGCATGGAAGAAAAAGGAATTCAAAATCCAATAAATGCTAATGAACATTAAGGATATAGGGAAATAAGAAGCCTTCTTCACTATTAATGGAAATAAAATTAGTGTAGCCATTATGGAAAGCATTATAGGGGTTCCTCCAAAACTAAAACTAGAGATACCATTTGATTCAACTGGTATTTGAGAGTATACAACTCTCAGTATATTCTGAAAGAATTAGTCAGCATACTACAGAGATACCAGCCTAGCCGTATTTATTGCAGTATAATTCGTAATAGCTAAGCTATTGTGATATAGCCTACACGGCCATCACAGATGGATGGATAAAGAAAGTGCATTTATACAGTAGAATATTACTCAGCCACAAAGTAGAATGAACTCACATCATTTGACAGAAAATGGATGGGACCGGAGATCATTATGTTCAATGAAATGAGCCATGCACAGGGTGTCACATATCACATATTTCCTACATGGGGGAAACATGGAGGAAAAGGAGAGATGACATGAAAGAAGGGACACTAGTAGTGGAGAAGTAGAGGGAATCAGAGGAAGCAGGAAGAAAGAGAGAAGGTGGAAATGGGGGGAGAACGATCACCATATGTTATATGCATGTACAAATATGCCAACTTGAAGCCCACTAGTCGCTTTACCTAACATACACTAAAAATTGTTTTCATACGCGATGTAAGAGACAGAGATCTTTCTCATTATACAAGTGGAGAAACTGAGGAGAGTGACCCTCAGAGTTGCCCAAACTACTCAATTGGGAAATCCAAGGTCATGACTTATCCAAGACCCTTCCCATTGTTCCTGCTGTAGCCTGGGGCTCCTCACCACACTGTTTAGATTCCATCCAACTTTGGACTTAGATGTTGTGTCCCAAGGCTGAGGCAGGAGAGCTCCAGGTAAGGGGTCACCAAGTCACAGCTGTCCACATCCTCAGGTTCCCATGGCACTGTCTACTTCTATGAATTCCAGCATCCTCCCGACTTCCTCAAAAACATCAGGCCACCCTACACAAAGGCAGACCATGGTGATGAGAT